CACAATTTCATGAGCAATTTTCCAAAACATGCTTCTCTCTAGAATAACCTTTCCCAAACTTACAACAGTCCTTAGCCTTCAGTTTCCTCCAAGGTCAAAATCTATGTCTGTTACAACTCCCAGGCTCTTGATTACTGCTTGGCAACAACCTGAGTCAGCAACTCCCATTGCACAAAAGACTTCAGTTCTCACGAATTGTGAATCACAGAACGATAAAATCAGAAATGACACGGAGAAAAGGTATGTGAGTGCCCAAGTTTCCCTGTGTGCAGGAGAAAAGTGGAATACCTGCTTCAAAGCCTTGAGCTTAAGTAGCAGAGTCAGGTACAACAATATTAAATTGTCTCCTGCTAAGCTGGTGCCAGACTCTTTACTATGTATTTCATGCTTTCCCTACCCTACATGGTAGGATCTCAATTTTTCACATGATGACATTAAGGCATGGACAGATTAAAAAGCCCTCCCAAGGTCCCACAAGGACTGAATCTATTTAAACTCAGATTGTACAACCCCATTGCCCAGCCTCTTTACGACTTAATGCCTTTGTAAGGATCAAGATTCTTTTTTAAACTTTAAAGTTTGTATTTATTTGATGGTAATTACAGGGTTGACTAGGGTAGGAAGAATCTAGCATCAGGGAAAAGTGGGTGAAATCATTGCTTCCCAATTCTCTATTTCTTCTTGTCTCTGAGGGAAAGAGGGGATAGAGGGGGGAAGCCACACCCGACCTCCCAAATGTCCCAGGACCAAGGGATGGGGAACCACAACCTAATATCAACCCAGTGTCCCACTATAGTGCATGTTCCGAGGGTTTTGATCAGATGGTTTGGATAGATCTGCAGTGCTGTCGATTTTGTTGTTCCAAGGGTGATGCAGTCCTCCCAGTGCCCATTGGCTGATGTAGTCGACCTCAAGTCTCTATTCACCCAGATTTTTGCTGTCATTGTCTGCAGAGGTAGTTGTCTAATTTGCTCTGTTCTCCTTTGCAACGGTACCAAATGGGCTGCCATATTGTCCATTGTGCATCAGGGTCTGCATCCACAGCCAGGCTTTTTTTACTTACTGGCAGGACGAAAGACCAGGGTCAGGTGCCCTGAGCCCTGCTGGATCCTCCAATACCAGGGCTCATGAACCTGGCATCATCTGGCCCTAGGCTGACTTGGTTTGCCTCACCTCAGTATCCACTATCACATTGCCCCAGTGTAAACTGTCTGGTGTTGCAGCCTGACCACCACCCCCACCACTGCACCCTGTCCTGGTTCTCAGATCTGCCAGTGGATGTTATGAGCTGGCCCAGTCAGGTCTGTCCCCAGACTTGATCCACATGTATGCCAGCAGGCACTGTAACCTGGCATGGTCAGGGCTTCTCCTTGACTTGGTCCTTGCACTCACCTGCATGAGGATCAAGATTCTTAAAATACATGTGAAGGTCTTGGGTTGGAGGTTTTCAGTTAGCTTTTTCCCCTGTATTCTGAAACCCAAGGGTGAATAACTTACGTAAGAATGAAGAGTGGGGTCTGGCACAATGGCTCAGTTGGCTAATCCTCCCCTTGCAAGTGCTGAGATACCTTATAGGCACTATCAGTTCTGCACCACTATCAACTGCACCACTTCCCTTCCAGCTCCCTGCTTATGGCCTAGTAAAGCAGTGAAGAACGACCCAAAGCGTTGGGACCCTCTACCCATGTGGAGTAGCCTGATTCTTGGCTTTAGGTCGGCTCAGCCCCAGACATTGTGGCCATCTGAGAAGTGAATTAGTGGATGGGAGATCTTTGTCTTCCTGCGTAAATCTGCCTTTCCAATAAAAATAATCTTTAAAAAAAAGAATGAAAAATAAACTTCAGCAATGGAATGGACTCCAAATGCATGACAAAGCTCCTCCTTGAAGAGAGCAAATGGTTTGGGTAACATCTTTTGAGTTTTCTCCTCTTGTTTGGGTTGTCTGGAGATAATGTTGGAATATCTGCTATTCAATTACAGTGCACTGGTTGGGTCAGAACATACTCATAAACAGGATATGTGCTATGCATAAAGCATCTGGAAGGATTTCAAAATAAGTCTGATTATCTGAAAGGCTTACAAGGAAAGGTATCGAGTGTCTAATCAGAAGGAGGAGGGAATGTTCTGGTACACAGTGTACTTTTGGAGTTTCCAGACATGTAAAGTTGTCTAATCCAACAACATGCTCTAATCTCGGACAAGCTCCTGCTTGTCTTTCTGTGAGTGCGGTGCATGCCTCTGCACAACCTTGAATTCTGTTTGTCTCAGTTGTTGCAAGATAAACTCTCTCCCGTGCCACTGAAACTCAGACATGTGAGCTGTATGTATTCCTCCGTGTGAAACCCAACACAGACACTTTGCATACCTCAACCTCTCATTTTTATTTGGGATTTGTCATTGTGAATCATAATTTCAGCATTCAGTCTCTGAATTTGGGAAGAACTAGCCAATACACATCTCAATATTTGGTTCAGATTATATTTGATATTTTTGCTGAAAATCCCCTGCTGAATGCCCTCTGCAGCCTGAGGCAGGCACCCCAAGCCCCCTGCACCTGAGGGGTAGAGACTAGGGCAAGGTGGGTTTCTGGGTGGAAGAGTTGGTATCAGGATCCAAAAATCAGATTTGTCCCTCTCTCCCCTACCACAAGGCTGCCCGCTACTGTGCGATGCCCAGGTCTACTTTCCTCATCTGCAGCACATGTCTGCCACGGTACATCCACTCAACAGCCATACCTCAGGGACTTCAAGCAGTTCACAGACCAAGGGAATTAAAAGGTAAGTTTAGGGGACCCAGCACAATAGCCCAGTGGTTAAATTCTTACTTTGCTTGTGCCGGGATCCCATATGTGTGCCAGTTCATGTCCCGGATGCTCCACTTCCCATCCAGCTTCCTGCTTGTGGCCTGGGAAAGCAGTCATGTACGGCCCAAAGCTTTGGGACCCTGCACCCACACAGGAGACCCAGAATAAGCTCTTGGCTCCTGGCTTTGGATTGACTCTAGTCATTGCAGCCATTTGGGGAGTGGATTGCTGGACAGAAGGAGCTTCCAATATCTGCATTCCCAATAAAAATAAATCTTTAATAAAAGAAATGTTGGTGCTGACATTTCTGAAGTAATGCATTTAAGGGGTCATCAAACACTCCATGGGGGAAAAAAAGCATGGGTTTCAATGTTCTTCGGATTTCAATTGTTTTTCAAAATTGTTCTTCACCAAAATAAACACCATTTAACTTTGTTTTTTCTCCCACAAGTTTTTTTTAAAAGATTTATTTTTATTATTTTTTTATTGGAAAGGTGGATATACAGAGAGGAGAGACAGAGAGGAAGATCTTCCGTCTGATGATTCACTCCCCAAGTGAGTGCAACGGCCGTCCGAAGCCAGGAGCTTCTTCTGGGTCTCCCACGCGGGTGCAGGGTCCCAAAGCTTTGGGCTGTCCTCGACTGCTTTCCCGGGCCACAGGCAGGGAGCTGGAAGGGAAGCGGGGCTGCCAGGATAGAACCAGCGCCCATATGGGATCCTGGGCATGCAAGGCGAGGACCTTTAACCACTTGCGCCACTGCGCCGGGCCCTCTCCCACAAGTTTTTGAAGCGCCCTCCTATTGTGGCCCAGCTGCCTCCCTGGATCTGAGGGTGCAAAGGTGAAGACAATGAAATTTCACACTCATACATCTCCATACCATACAGACAGCCAAATGTTCTTCCCGCAGGCAGTGGCCGCCAAGGGAACCTGGGCATTGTCTGTGTATGTGCAGACACTGGTGACAGGAGCCAGCTGGGAAGGCCTCTTAAATGTCCTGCCATTGCCAATCACGAACCACAGGAGCCATGAAAAGGTGCCAGTGCTTTGATCATTAGCCACTGACCAAATCTGTTACGAGGAATTTCATGCCCTGTAATGAGGCAGAAAATGGCCATCGGGCACTTGCTCTGATGAACCAATGGCCGGCGCTGGCATGGAAATGATGGAGCCACATCACTAGCAGAATCTCGCATTCTCTCTCCTGGTGATCACAAGCTCAGGGCTCACATGTGGCCTTCTGCCTTTATGAGGTGGGTGGTCTCCACTTGTACAAATAATCTTGGGAGGGTAAGGAGTTTGCCACATAAGTGGTAGAACCAGTCTAATCTTAATGGAGTGGCACATGTCAGGGCATTCCAAGGAACAGCCGTGTGTGAGGTCAGGCTACGTGTGATGAGGAATTGGGTAGAGCAGTGTGTGTGGCAGCAGTCAGGAATCCCTGGTACAAAGGCACAATGGGTAACAGTAAGCTCTGAAAGTAACACTGACTGGAGAAAACAGGCAGGCCAGGCACGGGACCACTCGGGGGGTCGCTTGAAAGACAACATGTTTGGCAGGTTCAGGAGGTGAGTGACTGGAGAATAGGAGTTGTCCCAGTGAACTGCCCCTTCAGGCTGGATGTGGTGATGAGGAGGGAGTGCAGTGAAGGTGAGACAGGACAAGGTTGAGGGAACCCTAGGTCAACTCTGGAGTTAGGGTTTACTAACAAGAGAACTGTATCATCCCTGAGCCAAAGTCCAGAACGTAGAATATATTGGCTATAGGGCAGTGATGGAAGTTAAGATTTCTAGAACACACAAGCAACAAGAGGAAAGATAAAGGAACTGGACATCACCAAATCAAAAGCTTCCATGGCAAGGATTGTGATGTAGCAGTTGAGTCACAGGTTGGGATATCTGCACCCTGTATCAGTCCATGTGATTTACATCCTAGCCTCTCTGCTTCTGATTCAGATTTCGGCTAATGTGCACCCTGGGCAGCAATAGATAATGCCTTAAGTGGCTATATGCTTGTCAGATGGAGTTCCTGGTACTGGTTTGACCTGGCCCAGCTCTGATGAGGGCATTTGGAGAGTGAATCAGCAAAAGAAAGATTCTTTGTGTGTGTGTGTGTCCCTCTTCAACTGCCTTTCATTTGAAGTGAAAAAAAACTTAAATTTTCGTGTTTCCAAGGACATCAAGAAAGTGAAACCACCACTCACGGAATGAGAAATTTATAAGTCACATACCTGATTAAAGACTTGTTTCTAGAATTTATAAAGAACTCTTACAACTCAATAATAAAAAGGCAAATAACTCCATTAGAAGTGGTCGAAAGATCTGAAGACATTTCTTCAAAGAAGATCTACAAATGGCCAATAATCACATAATCACATGCTCAATATCATTTGCCATCAGAACACAAATCAAACACTGAGATATCAATTCACCCTCATTGGGATGGCTAAATTAAAAAGCTAAGATGGCTAAGATAATACTATGAGTTGACAAAGATGTGGAATAATCAGAAGGCTCATATACTGTTAGGGCAATATAAAATTATTCCGCCACATTGCACAATAGCCAGTCAGTTCCTCAGAAGGCTCAACAGTTACCACTGTATTTAGCAAATTCATTCCTAGGAACATATCCAAGAGAATGTTCATAATAGGATTAATCATAGCAGCCTCAAAGTGGAAATAACCCAAATATTCACAGAATGATGATATGACAACAAAAGGGAATAAAGTTAGATATATGAAACAACATAGATGAACATGAGCTTTACCGTCTAAATTAAAACATCAAATAAAAAGTGGGATTTAGCTTAAATATAATTTTTATTTTCAAAAAAAGTTCTAGGTGCTTCAAATTATGTTTTTTAAAAAACCAAAACAAATGTTAACATCCAAGATGAAAAAACTACTTAACAAAGTTTAGTTACCACTAGCAAAATACTTTCTGATCACATCTATTACATACATATTGTATTTGACAGGCTGGATAAATATTTGATAGCAGAAGACATATGCTTTCAGATATGCTTGGCTCCCAGAGTGCTCGAGATTTCTCAAGTCTGTTTTAATAAGGCCCACGCACCCTAGTTCACCAACATCCACACTACCCCAACATGGCCCACTTCACGCAGTGGTATTTTCTACCTGGTCTCTCCCTACTTTCACACAGCCAGTGTACAAAACATGTATAATTGTTGTATAGGTCCAAGTCATAATTTTGGTTTCAAATGCCTTGTTTTTGTGTACCAAGGGGCAGGATATATATAGTCTTTGCTCAGAAAAACACCCAGACTTGGTTAACCCTACTCCTACAAGGAAATATATCTTTGACAGTGTTTCCTCCGGGGTATAGTGAGTTGGTAATTAAAAAGTACCTGCAGGCATGTGTCAGGACGGAAAGTCAGATACATATTCGCAGGCATGGTGGAGCAAGAACAAGCAGGCAGAAGTCAGCAACAAGCACAGCACCTGCCTCCTCTTTGCTCTCCAGTAGCACCCAGGGTTCTGATTACAGGGCCACCCTTCAGACAATTCCACTTCCTTCCTCATGGCTAGGTAAAGAGTGACTCAGGAGAATTTCCTCTGACGCCATCACAGGTGGCCATGAGCCCCCAGTCCTGAATTCACATATGAGGAAACCAAGGCCTAGAGAGGGAACAGGCTGAAGCCAGGGCCTCTAGCACTTTCCTTGGGAATCCTATGTTCAGAGGAAGTTGTCCAAGAAGCACATAGACTAGAGGAGATGGACATCCTTGCTTCCCTTCTGTGGGTCCCCCAGGGGGGATATGCAAAACTCTTTTGCAATTCTGACATAAAAGGTGGATCAGCTGAGCCGTAGGTCCTGTCCCAATGACATGACAGCCACCCTGAAGAACACGCATTTCTCATGTATTCTCTATGCTGTGGTCTCCCCAGCACCATTGACATGGAGACAGCCCTTCCCTTACAACCCATTCCTAGAGCCAAGGACTTGCTGGAGATGGACGCCTCTATGCAGATCTGCTACAAGAGCCACAGTCCCATCACCTCCTCTACTCAGCTCTCACACTCCAGGTCGACACCATCCTGGCTCATCATTCCAGGCCCAAAATCAGACTACAATGGCAGCCCCTGTGATCTAACATGGGGGTTGCTCACCACAGTCACTCCAAGAGAAACATGGCCCAGGCTTTCCCCTCACTTTTGCCTCCTGCCTGAGGATGGTGCTTCCCTCCCAGCTCCCATGGTCCCTTGGGAACTGAGTAATCAGCATCTCTTTTCCCATGGCAAATGTCTTCTACATTAGCTGGCCTCACCATGCCTATCCCAGAAATGAGCACTATTCCCTAGAAATGCTGGAATGAGGTTTCAGAAAATTCACATCCCGGAGGTACCATAGCTCCACAGAGCCAGGACACAGCACCTGGCAGCTTTGAAGTGAGGCAACAGGAGAAATAAGCAAAGCAGCTTGGAGCCTGGAGTCGGGGAAGGAGTCCAATGAGATGGTCAGGGAGAGGATGCGCAGCAGGAACTTCAGGAAGAAAACCAAACCCCCAGCCCCTGGTCTGCTCAGCCATCCAGCTCTTCTTTGACTGAGACACGCAAAGGGCAGATGCGCAGAGGCTCGGGGGGCCCATCTCCTCGCGCACCCCCTAGGTAGAAGTAGGGCTGCACCTCCCCGAAGCGGGCATGGAAGGTGTACAGGTGGCAGTTGCGCTCGGCATCATAGAAGGACAATTCACCTTCCTCACATTCCAGCTCCACACGCAAGCGGCGCGGGATGGCCAAGACCAAGGGTGGTGTGGCCGGGTCAGAGGTCACACAGTGGTCCCCCTCTACCCCCTGCGTACGACACACATACCAGAAGCCTGAGCGTGTGTCATGGTAGCAGCTGTGCGAGTGGCCCTCGGAGTCCTGCCGCACGCGCACCACGCCCACCCGCCAGCTCTGCAGCCCACCCAGGGCCACCTCCCAAGCGTGGGAGCCTTGTGAGAAGACGCGGGAGCCCAGCAGGCAGGGTGCTGAGGAGAAGCGCTCGGGGTTCTCCACCTGCACGCGGTAGCCATGGTTGGTGACGCTGGTGAGGTCATCAGACACGGACAGCCAGCCAGCTGCAGTGTTGGGATCTAAGCTAAAGGGCACTGTGGGCAAGAGGAAAGTGAGGGTCAGTCAGCTACAGGTGATACCTCTCCCTTCCGCCTGCCTGCTGACAGCCCCAGTGCTCCCAAACCCATCACCTGTGCCCCACCTGTTCCCTCAGTCCACACAGGGAGATGGGCTGGGCTGAGGAACTGTGCTGTGCAGTAAGTTGAATTGTGCCCTCTGTCCCCCAAAAAAGGGCATGAGGCCATCTTAATTCCTGGAACCTCAGGATGACACCTCACATGGGAACGGGGAAACTACAGACTGGAGTGGTGCTCTTAATCCCATATAATTGGGTCCTTATAAAATGTGAAGCAACACAGACACTGCAGGGGAGAATACCACCTGCCAACAGAGGTGGAGATCCAAGTGCCAGAGCTGCAAGCCCATGACAGCCAAGGATGACCAGCAAGCAGAGACTGGAAGAGGCATGGGAGGACTCTCCCTATAGGTGTCACAGGGAGCACGGCTCTCTGCCAACCTTGATTTGGATGCCCAGCCTCTGGAACTGTTGATGTAAGCCAGTCAGCTTGTGGCAGCCCCAGCACAATGATACAGGCAGGAACTCTGCCTCAGGATGTCTTAGGGAAGTATGTGACCCTCCCCTAAGTGCAATCAGGACACAGCAGTTCCCATGGGAAGGAGTCACCTTGGGAGAGGTGACCGTGCACTGAAGAAGCTGTTTCCCAGACACAATCTGGTTCTCAACAGAGAAGGGGGTGCTCTTCTTTCTGAAGAATAAGGGAGGGCTAGACAGCAAGGTACTTTGTGAGGAGGGGAGGGTCTGCCTGGAAGAACTGGAGGGTGAACCGCTGTGAGGCAGGTGCGCTCAGCCAGCTCATGATTAGCACGAGATGCCTGTACCCACCAGATTCCACAGATGTGAGCATCTTCTTCCAGACACGGTACTGCAGGGAGTCCAGGTACTTGCACACATTGATGAGCATGCCAGGCTGGACGGGCTCCGGCTCCATGGTGCAGAAGAGCCTGGGAAAGGAGCACTGGACATGGTGAGCGACGCCACGTCCTTGCATTCTGGGTCACACTGGGCTAACTGGAATTAGGTAACACGACCGGGTCCCTTGTTTCCTGCCTCAAGTCTATCTTTCCATCTTCTCTAAGACAAACCTGCAGTGGGCTCTGGTAGGAGATGGGCTGGGAATTGAAAGGGTTGCTATATTCTCTAAGGTTTCAATACAAGGACTCCCTTACCTTAGCTGGGAGAAATAGAAATAGGAGGTTCTCTGAGATAGAAATCACACACGTGGTCATGGGATATCTGTGCTAGACATGCACTAGTCCAACAGTTCCAAGGTTTCACCTGGCCTTTGCTTGAATACTTCCAGTAACAGGGAACTCACTACCATACAAAGTACTCTCTTTCACCTTTAGACAGGTTTGATGGGGCACAGCTAACTCTTCCTCTTTGTTCCAGTGAAACCAACCACTGTCAACAAGAACCAGTATGTTCAAAGCCTTTCAAGAGGAGGGGGGCTGGCCAAGAAGCAAGCCCAAATGTGGGATGACCCACTAACCTATATGTATGCAGGGTGATGGTCTCCCTCCATGTACTAAGGATGGTGGCCGTCCACACTTCCCACTCTGAGCCCATGCCAACCAGAACTGGAATACCTTGAATAGGGTTCTCTCCATCTGCCAGTCTCCATTACTACACCCAGCTGGCTGTGTGACCTCCCTGCCCCAGAGCCACTGGAGGTAGTTAGTACCTCTAGTATTTCTGCCTGTTCTTCCCCTACGCTTCCACCAGGCCAGGCAACTTACCGCCGTTTTCGGCTCTTATGTTTCTGAAATTAAAAAACAAAGATACACAGAGAAGAATATGTTAAGTTTTGACCTCAAGAGAAGCCATGCATTCAATATTCATGAATCAGAAGCCTTAGACTTAATATTGTTAGGATGTCAATATCCCCCGAGTAGATCTGCAGAGTCAATATCTCTGTCTCAGCTAGATTCTTTGCAAAAACTAAAGAGTCAATCCTTAAATTCATACGGAAATTCAAGGGATCCAGAAGAGTTTAAAAATTAATCCTGAAAAAGAACTAAGTTGGAGGACTCACACTCCTCACCTTCCAAACTTACTACAAAGCAGCAGTCATCAAGTATTAACATAAGAAGACACAGAAATGAACAAAATAAAAGTGAATGTGCAGAAATAAACCATCACATACATAGGCAAGAGTGTCAAGACCCACTAATGAGAGAGAAAATAGTTTTTCCAACCAACAGTGCTGAAACAGAATGTATAACACATACACAAAATGAAGGTACAAGACCTAACTCTAGAGCTAGGACTAAAGGACTCATATCTGTAATATATAGAGAACTCTTATAATTGAACAACTCAAAAAACAATCCAGTTAAAAATAGGCCAAGGATCCAAATGGACATTTCTTCAAAGAAGATACACTAATGATCAACAAGCACGTGGAAAGATGTACAGCAGCATTAGTCACCAGGGAAGAACAAGTCAAAATCCCAGTAAGACTCCACCGCACACCTGCCTGAATGGCTATGACAGTATTTCCAAAAGGCAAGTGTTGAGGAGGACGTGGAGAACCTGGCGTCCTTGCACCTGCTCTGGGAACATAAGATGTTTCAGCTGCTTTAGAAAACAGTCTGGCAGCTCTTCAAATATGGAGTCAGGAGACTCAGCAGTGCTCCTGTGTGTATAACCAAGAGAAAGAAAAACAGGCCCACAAATCATCATCATTATGGTACACAAGTGTGTACATTTTAAAGTGTGTATAGCCATATTACTCACAGTAGTAGAGAAGCACGCCTAGTGCCCACAGGAAGGATCAATGAATAAATGGTAATATGCCCATGTGATGACAGATAAGGCATAAAGAACAAAGCAGTAAGGCACAGAAATTCCTCTATAAGGACAAATGACTCATGGAAGAGAATGAAACCAATAAAAGAAAAGAAAAAACTTATCCTATTTAGAATCATCCTTTGCTTAGGGGGAGAAAATACCACAATATCATATTTAAATTAAAAAATAATTGCAGACTTCATTTCATGCGGGGAGAGAAAGAGAAGAAACAAATAAACAAAAAAATGAGAGTGCACAGGAGAGGGTGAGAGTGGGAAAGGAAAGAGAGGACAGAAATAGGAGACCTTCTTGGAACTCTGGATTAGTCTTTCTAGTCTCTTGATACAGAGCACGACATCTGTTGGATCCTCCAGGAGCCAATGGGAAGACTAGGCCGGCCAGGGGTGGCGGTTTGCAGCTCCCAGCTGGTACCTGGACTTCCAAGGCCCTGCTGCTGCATCAATACACCAAGCTCCTTACCATGAGAAAGGAAACATCATCTTCCTTCATCTCTGCCTGCAGCCGCTCAATCTCATGTGCCAGTGCCTCGGTTTCCTCCGCCAGCTGCTTCATCTTCTCATCGGCCAGGAGCTGCTTCTGCCTGGCCTCCTCGGCCATCGAGTCCAGTATGGCCTGCTCCTCCACCCTCAAGAACTCGCGTAGCTTGTCAAATTCTTGCCGGATACGGCCTTCCAGCCAGGCAGCTTCCACCTGCGGCAGAGAGCAGGGGGCAGTCAGAGATGCCACAAGGCAGAGGGGACCTCAACCATCAGCCAGAACAGAGATGCCCAGATGCCTCATGAAGGAACCCTGTGCTCAAATACACGATCACACATAGAACCCTTAGATAAAACACCGAAGTCAGACTTTATTTGCACAAAGCTGTAAATTAACATTTCAGTTGGGAAGGAGGTAAAAACAAACAAACAAACAAACAAACAAACAACTCTTGGTTCCTGGCTTTGGATTGACTGAATTCTGGCCATTCTGGCCACTCCACTTGGGGAGTAAACCAGTGGATGGAAGATCTCTGTCTTTTCCTCTCTGTATATCTGCCTTTCCAATTAAAAGACAAAGAAAAAGAAAAAAAGGGGCAGAACTTCTTGAAATAAAAAGACCTCTCATCTGCTGGTTCACTTCCAAGTGGTTGTAATGGCCAGAGCTGAGCTGATCCGAAGCCAGGAGCCCAGAGTTTCTTCTAGGTCTTCCACTTGGATGCAGGGTCCCAATGCTTTGGGCCTTCCTTGACTGTTTTCCTAGGACACAAGTAGGGAGCTGGATGGGAAGTGAGGCATCTGGTGCCCCTATAGGATCCTAGTGCTTGCAGGGAGAAGATTTAGCCACTGAGCCATCACGCCATGCCTGGAGGGGGTGAATCATCATAGATGGCAACTATTCTCCCATAACCTTGTCAACATGCCACATCCTGTATCTTGTCTAAGTTTCAGAGTAGCAAGGGACATTCTAAACCAGGGATGAACTATTAAACAATAACTTTGGAAAATTATCTGTCTTCCAATTTTAAGACTTCAGGTTTGCCTGATCTAGGTCTTACCAAAACCCTAGCAAGGAGCATGATTTTTAAGAATATACATTTTCCACGAATTTCTTGAAGACCTCTCATACACAGATTTTTAAAACTTTTTGCTCCAGGAGGATAAGAGGAGGTCTGTATCCTAGTCCCAGAGACCCCCAGAAACCTCTTACCTCCCAAGTGCTTGCGCCACAGAAGCAGTGGATACCTCATCAAGGATTGTCATTAAGGGCCATATCCCAACTGCCAAGGAGATCACAGGGAATTTGAGTGCCCTCGTAGGCCAAGAATTCTTGAGGTCAGCAATTTCCTATTGGATCTTCCACACGGGATTGAAGCAGCCCAGAACGCTTCCCATAGGAGGTTCATACAATAGGGTCTAATGACATCAGAACAACAGCCAAGAGCCCCAGGAGGTCCTCAGAGATAGAAGAATCACAAATTCCCTCTGGATTCAAGAGAGGAACTTTCTCTGGTCCTTACTTAAATTTCCAACCTTGGCTCCCCATCTTCTCTTGTCATCAAGATCACTCTGGAGACCCAAAATTAGCTCAGATGGACAGAGAAAAACTAATCTAGAAAGCTTAGAACAGACAGGAAAAATCAGCTTGGCCTTTCCTTGACCTTACTAGGTAGGATACAAGGTTCAGTTATTCCTCACTAGCTAAGTTATTGGAGATTTTTCTGCACACCCCTCCTAAGACTGTTCTATTCTTCAATTGTTAATATATGGCTTATTAGAATTATAAGAGTTATAAACCGGTTTTGATTATCCTAAAATGCATGACTTTCTATAAAATCTCTTGAATACTATAAACTGCTAAACATAAATATAATAATAATAATAACATGGCAAAAAAGAATGAAATACTATTTACAACTAGGTGGTCCCAACTAGAGACCATTATGCTCAGTGAAATGGGTCAATCACAAAGGAACAAATATCATATGTTCTCTCTAATATAAGGAAACCATCATGGAAAGTGTAACTTCAATAACCCCATCCATACTGTGTGGGTTTTTTTTTTTGGCAGCATTCCATGTTTTGATGTTTTTTATTTCAGTTTCATTTATTCCAAATACTTTCTATCCTGTATTGAATTCATCACTGGCTCATGGATTACAGGGTGGCATCATTTTTCCCCAGAGACTTTCGTGTTTCCGTTTTGTCACCCATGTGTTAGTTACTCGGTGGTGCGTTTTTTCATGGTGCTGTAATTTGTTGCTGATGTGGCTTTTGTTCTAATTCATACCAGTTGTTGACCTTGTTTCATGGCTTCTCATTTATGGAAACATATAGTGATGGAGTACTAGGGACTACCATATCCAGATGTGTGGGTACAATGCAACACGCATTGCTGCTTCCAAACAAAAGATGGACTCCCAGTGAAACTGTTGGAAATGTATAGACAATGGGATGCTTGACTGTCCGACATTATCTGTACCAGCAATGTCGGGGCACACTTAAATAAGAAACTCATGGAATTATGACTCCTTATGAAGGACTATACTATTGTAGCAACATGGGGAAAATCTGACAAGGGGTGGGAGTTTGGGGGGAATCTCAGTTTATATGAAATTGTACCACAAAATTCAAAAAGTAAAAAAACAAAAACAAAAAACACCTTTCTGCTCCAAAAGAAACATCCTTGATTCTGTTATCTACAAATTTTTTTAAGGAGATCTATCATTCTGGAGACAAGGGGGCAGGGCTGCTGAGGCAGGCAACAGGAGAATCAAAGCTCCAGGCCACTGCTGGCTTGAACACATTAGGGGTGAAGTGTCACATATGCTCAAGTTATTCCAAATCATGGTACACATGGTGCAGGTGGCCATCTCATCTGTCCCTGCCTTCCTTCCCAGTGAGCAGAGGTGCAGAGTAGCCCTGCTTGTCCACACACAGCCATATGAAAGCAGCAGGACGAAGGAGGGGCAACTATGGTCAGCTGTCACCCAGTCAGTAACGCGAGTCACCTCCAGGCCAGACCCACCTTTACTACTCCCTCAGACTGTCCTGGGTATCCCTCCTCTTCCTGTTCGGCTCCTAGATCACTCACCTGATTGTGCTTGGCCATGGCCTCATAGGAACGCCGCATGGCCCAGAAGGCCTTAGCTTTCTCCCGCAGCACGTGTTCCATGTTCCTGCACTTGGCCTGTGGTGGGGAATGAGAAGGTGGGGAGAGAAGTAAGTGAGCGTGGAGGGTGGCCAAAGAGGACAACCTTCAGGGATTCCAATTCAGTAAGTCTGGCTCAACCACATTTACTAAACCTGGGAGTATGGATCTGACCTGGAACCAGATGTTGAAGGCCCCCAAAGACGTTCTGATCTGCCCTGTCCATGGATGCCTGAAACAGGTGGGGAGGCAGAACTGCAGCCAGTTCTCTCTCAAGCTGGTCATGAGAGGGCACAGTGTCCTGCCTGCCTGCCTGAACCAAGGCAAGTCCAGAATGGGCCCCAACTCCAGGTCATGCAGGCAGCCATAGAGAGGTTATCCTTACAGTCTCCCTTTTCAACTTTCCACGCAGAACTGATAGGCAGGCATCAGTCTTCAGGTCTCACAGTAGGGTTGACCCAGTCTTCCCCAGGAGACCTGATCTACAGAGGCCCCTTCACATCCCAATGGTCTTCATACCCCAATAGGTCTTTCTCCTAATGGTCTAACATTGCTTGGCTTATCTGAAATACTTCATCAGTAAATTTTTATGTTTTGGCTGTTTTTCAGATTTTGTTCATTGTTGTTTCTCATCACTTTGGATGCCTTGAAGAAACCAAGTTTTACGTTAAATTCTTACCTCTTATATATCATTTTCTTTTTAAAAAGATTTATTTATTTACTTATTTATTTGAAAGGCAGTTATAGAGAGACAGAGTAATCATTCATTACCTTGTTCAAATTCAAACTGGCCACAATGGCCAGGGCTGGGCCAGGTTGAATTCAGAAACCTGGAATTCCATCTGGGCCTCCCACAAGTGTGGCAGGGCCCAACTACTTGTACAATCTTCTGCTGCTTTCCCAGGCACATTAACAGGGGTTTGTACTAAAATTGGAGCAGCGCAACTCAAACCAGTACCAACATAGGATGCTGATATTGAAGGCAGTGGTTTAACAGGTCCCCATTTTGTAACTTGATCCTTTTCTTTCTACATTACTTTTTAAACATGTACATATTAATGACAGGCAGAGTGTCAGACATATAGAGAAAAAGAGATTTTCATCTGCTGTGTCAACCCCCAAATGGACACAATAGTCAATTTCTGGTCAGACTGAAGCCAGTATCACAGAGGTCCATCCAGGTTTCCCACAGGAGTGGCAGGGGTCCAAGTACTCGGACCATCTTCGTCTGCCTTTCCAGCAGGAAGCTGCCTCAAAAGAACAGCCAGGACTTGATCTGGTACTATGATACGGGGTGCCAGCATGCTGCACCACATTGCTGGCCCCCTTTTCTCTCTACATCCCAAGAAAGTTTTTCAAGTTTCACCTTCCCTTTTGGAAAGAAAAACAATTGTAAATAATATGAAACATAAATAACTAACATTTATCAAGCACTTACTGTGTGCCAGGAACTGTGCTGATCATTTGACAAACTGTACTGTCACATCACCCTACCGTTCTTCTTAGGGAAGTAATAATTCTGATCCCATTTTCCAGATCGGAATGATATATGGGATATAGGTAGGAGGTGAGTTTAGGACTGTTGAGCTGGAAGTCACATGCACCCATGTTTAATTCTCTGCTCTTACTTATCAATCAAAATACCTCCTTTCCCAGGATGCATCTGATTCATCTGGAACCTGGAAAGGGGTGGGGGGTAAGGAGGAATGCCATGATATTGGATATTAAATTAAGCTCCACGAGGAATTTATGATGTACCATAAGATCCCCTGGCGGCTTTACTCCTGGTGAGGCTCCTCCCTGAACTCATACAAGAGCCCAACATTCAGAAAAGTGCTTTTTCTCTTGTCCACCCCAGACCATGTCTGGAGGGATTGCTAGATTCCTTCTCTGACTCCCTTCCCTCTACCTTCTCTCCTCTGGTACAAAGCCGGGATGTCTGCTCACTCATAATTGCTGTTTCTGTGTACCCATGTTCATGTGTGTGTGCAGTGAGTGCGCACATGTACGCTTTCTCACCTTTTGAATAACATTTAACGTATACATCAGAGCTTAGAATTCTCATCTTTGTGTATGACAATGACCTGGACTAAAAAGATGAGTACTCCTCTCACTTCCATTAGAGGAGAAAATAAGGCACAGTGGAGGCAAGGGCCTTGCCTAACCTCTCCAGTGGGAGAACCAGGATTTGTGCACAGAATTCTCCAGCTCTTTAGTCCAAGTTCTCAGCCACCACATTATGCATGCTATCTGACGAAGAGAGCTACTGTGCTGTCTGTCCAATGACTGTATTTCTAAATTATGTCATCTAATTTCCAAATTTCTTATCTTCAAGCATGTTGTCGGCTTTCTTTAGTTCTGCAGAATAAAATACTAGAATTCTAAAATTACTTTGCTCAATTCTTCAATAACCCACATGCCAATGAAACCTTCCTCAAATAAATGTCATAGGTATTCTCTTCTCTACAGTGCATTCTGGTTCCAGGGGCAAGAACTCCTGGGACACAAGCCAGGCATCTTCCACTGTAGCAGATGACGTTGAATGGTTTTCCAAAGCAATTCTACCCACTTCCACAACATGATCAATGTTAGCCAACGATGCTTACTGATCATTTAGAGCTTTACTCTGAAGCACTTGTTAAAGCTTTTTGTTCATTTTTTAAATGTTCTTATTTATTTGAAAGGAAGGGAGAGAAAGAAAATCTTCCATACATTGGTTCACTCCCAGACAGTTGCAAGGGACAGGGCTGGGCAAGCCAAACCTAAGAACCAATTTTCCCCCATAGGCAGAGGGGCCCAGATGCTAGAGCCATCTGCTGCTGCTGCCCCAGGCACATTAGGTGGGAGCTGGATTGGGAGCAGAACAGCTAGGACTTGAACCACACTTTATGGAATGCTGGTATCTCAGGCAACAGCTTAACATGCAGTGCCACAAGGTCAATCCCTTTGCTAATTTTTAGTTGGGTTGCCAGCAAATGTCCCATCAGTTTATAGTTATTTATTAGGTATGCACAATGCATACCCCTTGTTGGTCAGATTACATATAGCTGTCTTGTATTGTATAGTTAACCTACCTTGACTTCAACACAATCTGCCAGCCTTTTGCTTTATGATTATTTGCTTATGGAGCACTTCCCTAAACTGAGGTCACTAATAAATCTCTCATAGTAGTTTATTCAATGTCACAGCTTTCCTGCTAAACTGGGTCTCATGTGGAAACCTGGTGGCTCAGTGTCTTGGTTAATGGGGACTAGATGAACATCATTCTTTTTTTGTTAAAAGATTTATTTTTATTATTTTTTTATTGGAAAGGTGGATATACAGAGAGGAGAGACAGAGAGGAAGATCTTCCGTCCGATGATTCACTCCCCAAGTGAGCGCAACGGCCGATACTATGCCGAGCTGAAGCCAGGAGCTTCTTCTGGGTCTCCCACGCCGGTGCAGGGTCCCAAAACCTTGGGCCGTCCTCGACTGCCTTCCCGGGCCACAGGCTGGGAGCTGGAAGGGAAGCGGGGCCACCGAGATAGAACCAGCGCCCATATGGGATCCTGGGCATGCAAGGCAAGGACCTTAACAACTGCGCCACTGCGCCGGGCCCTGAACATCATTCTTTATGGGTCTGCAGAGACACATGTCACAAATCCAACAGGGATCTATTTTGTGGCCTACTCCTCTGTCCCATCTGTCCATCCTTGCACCAGCATCACATAGTCCTAATTTCTGTAACTGTACAACCAAGTGATCTCTAATAGGCACGTCTAGGAATACAGACACCTCTTTTGATATAAACAGATTTTAGAACAGGCTCAGCAACCTGTAAAAAAACAAAAGCAAGCAAGCAAACAAACAAACAAAAAAAACCTTTAGAATTTTGATTACAGTATTGACCCTAGGGATCAACCTGGGAAAAGATGACATTTTTACCCCCAATTCCTATCTGGGCTTTCTCACCCAGTCTAGCAATCATTTCCATTTAACCCTAGCATTTAATGTAATTATTAATATATCTGCATTTAAATCTGTCATCTCTTTGTACTCTCTGTCTTGCTCACTAAAAATAAAAGGAAAAATCATGATGACCGCAACACTGAATTTTTTAAAATGGAATTGGGAGGCCACCAAGGAGGCAGGCCTTATGCATGCATCAAGAGGTTACCTTGATTGTGAAGTCTGGTCACTTTCCCATGACCACAGGCAACTGAAGTGATGTATCCAGACTTGAGAAACACATCAAGAAGTTACTGGTCTCTCATTTTTAATTTGGCTTACACATTCTTTTCTTCATCTTCTGCTGGTCATATACTCTGGTACTCAACATTCAATAGAATTGTCCTATAAAGGAATTTTTACTGCTTTGAAGCAGTACTCCTTGCCCTACAACTAGTCACTTTCTTTGCCTTCTTCAGAATAATGATCCAGAGCTATCTGAATCTGTATCTCCCAAACTGCAAGCTCTAACACCACAAATCCAACTCTGTTTACTTTTATGGATTGAGTTTGAACTGATCAACATCTATACCATCTTTTCCTCTTTCATTTATTATGCATTGCTTTCCATTTACTTCCTTTTCTATGCATTTCATGGCTAACCTAGAAAACATTACATGTAGTAAGTTTCAGTTAGGGCCTAAGCAGTTTCGATATTCTGACTCTAGCCCCTGTATATGGCTCACTATTCAAAGGAACTGTCTGTTGTCAAGGAAGTGATTGAATGATCTGAAAAGCTCACAGTAGGCCTCAGGGTAAGGGCAGCTGGGATGAACACAGATGATTACTGTTCTCAGCGCAGCTAGTGCCCAGAAGGGGCTGAAGCGTCGTTCGGTCGCAAGCCCAGAAGAGCAGAAGAGCTCTGGTTGTGGCATCACACTGCACCAGTCAAGTCTGCTTATTTATTTTTTTTTAAAGATTTATTTTTATTATTTTTTCATTGGAAAGGCGGATATACAGAGAGGAGAGACAGAGAGGAAGATCTTCCGTCCGATGATTCACTCCCCAAGTGAGCGCAACGGGCCGATACTATGCCGATCCGAAGCCAGGAG